ATTGAGAATATAATTATGTCTGCAGAACATTTAGTATCCATGAAGCTACACAAAGAAGAAGGAACTTAGCTTTACCATAAGGTCCCAGGTTGAGTTTGCAATAGCAGATTCCATCACACTCTGCAACACTTTTACTTGGGCCTTCTCTACACAGGAAAGTTTTTTTTTCCAATATAAGATAGGAATTTAAACTGATGCAGCTATATTGGTATAATCTCCTACATGGACATACTCAGTCCAATATAAGTGTCATTTTTCAGTTTAATTTATGTTGTTTGGCAACGGTTTAAGCTAAAGTGAAAATCCCACTTCTATACTGGAATAAGAATGTCTACACGGGGGGTATAACTAAACTTGTATAATAATATTGGCATAAATGGTAAAACTTTGTTATGTAGATAACCCCTTGTAAAGTAAGAACATTTAACATGAGTTATTGAGAAACAATAAACATAAAACTCTCCCAATATCACATTTCACAGAATACTGCATTTTCAGGCAGAACTGAGATCCAGAAACTAAATTTACATTTTTGCATAAAAATAAGTTTCTAGCCCTTGTGGTCAGAACAAAATGTTCCAAATGTGAAGCAACCAATGCAGTGACCAAGTGTCTGACCAAGAGCATTTCTATGATGGAGCTGGAAGGTGTAATAATCTGTGATTCTATGGATCTGCACTGGCTCTGGTTGAGATAGAATTCTAAAAACGGAAGTGTAGCTGCAGCAGCTCTGTGTCAGTATGGGCTAGCTTCCCTGAATATGCACCTACCATCTTGGTTGGGTATGTATGCATAGCAGCTAGCCCCTCCTGCCACCTGTGTCACCACAGCTACACTCTGTGTTTACTGTGCTAGCTCGATCAGAGATAGTGCAGGTATATCTGCTCAAACTGGGAATTACAACCCCAGCTCAAAGTGTAGCCATATACACTTAGTCTGAACACAACTTGGAAAAATAGCTGTGTGAAGGGTGAACACCTTGATTTATCTCAATAAGGTCTAACTTTAAATGTAATGATGACAACTGAATTTTCAATATTGTTAACTCTTTCACTCCCAATCATTATAGCTGTGCTTACCCCACAAGCCCAAACTACTTCCCAAACCTCGTAAATTTTGAAAGCCTCAATTGTTTCTACTTAGCTGCTAAAATCATGAACTTTCTTTCTGACTTTTACAATATAGTTAAGAGCTTTCAGTATAATATTTTGCAGTGCATTGAAAATTAAACAGTCGGGGAAGCATCAAATGCATTGTATTAATATCAAATTAAATAATATAGAGGCTACTATTGTAATAATTGTATTATTCATTTTTCTTATTTAACACAATCTAAACCTTAATTTTAAAACATATATGAAGCTACCACAAAATATCCAGTATGCCCTGGAGTGCTATAGCTATGCCCCACAACAGAGATCAATCTTGCTGCAGGATAGACGAGTCCGGGATATAATTCATCAGTCCATCCTATGTAAGGTGTTTGCTCATGTTGGTGGTACTACAACACATTCCTTCAATAAAAACATTACTTTACGAAAGGGGAGTAATGCCAGAGATGTCTAATATGCTCATAAAACAACAAATGACATGGTTTGTAACATTTCCAGTTTACCAGGTTTTTTTCTGTTCTCTAAAGGTCTAGTGAATTTACATGAATACTGAATGACTTTGTCTCCTCCCCAAAAGGTTGAGTCTAAAAAGGGCAAGTTTACGCCTGCATTTCCAAAGCAACCTGTATCAGCAGTGGAAGCCCATTTAACATCAGGGCAACATAACTATAGTGGGAGTTGGTAATGATGGGGAAGATTTTCAAAGGCACAAATGGTAGTTAGACACTTTGAAAATCTCCCTAGGTGTAAGTACATTGACAAAATTATACCATTTCAAATTTCTCACCTGAGACTGGAAAGTAGTTTAAAGAAAGCATGGAAGCTTTTCACATATATATTCTGGTCACCATAAAAAGGTTGCATTTAGCCAGACCATATGCTTACCTGAAAAGCTCCCCAGTCGCGGTGTTGTCATATCTCCACCGTCATAGATTTCAAGGGAGTCCCAGTTATGTTCTGTGGCAAAACTTATGACCTGGATCTGTAAAACAATGCCATTAAATATTTGTTTTTCAACCCAAATAATTATATTTAAATGAATGCTCTAAAAATAAAGAACAAAACAACATAAAAAACCAAAACCATACACAAGCAAAATGAAACAAACGAAAAAAAAAGCCCTGGAATAAAATGTAAATAAAAACAAAACTAAAATAAATTGATTCTTATTCTCCACTTTTTTTTATTTTGTATAGTCATCTATACTTGTGCAAAATTGGTGCAAAACATCACCATGTGGGAATAATTTTTTGCACACACATTGCACAGATATAAATGAGTACACAAGGTGCAAGAAAATGGAAAATCATACTCCAATTATGGCCCCCGTCCTGCAATCAGATCAGCTAGTGTAGACTTCTGCTTCTGTGCAGTGCTCAATTGACATGAAGCTGTAAATGGGAGCAGTATCAGATTGTAGGATTGGGACCTATCTCTGCTATTCTACTCAGTTAAAAAAGAAAGCTGCTAGTGACTACTAGGTTAAATCCATTCTTCCTGCACAACAGAGTGAGAAAAAAAAGAAAAAGAACAATGAGATTAGAAACTATCCATTGGTTAAAAAAAAAAAAAGAGGGGAAAAACAAAAACAAAAAGCTCTGATTACTCTTTTCTGATTTGGCTGTGGGAGAAGGGGGTTGGGGAGTATTTCACGTTTGGCAGAATATGGACTTGCCTGAATACCTGATCCCTCAGTCACTATGATTTTCCACACACAATTCAAGCTGTTACCATAGGGTTCTGGATAACCAGGTGACAAGATAGTACCCCTCCGTTCAGTGAAATTCCCATTGCATGGTACTGAAAGACAATATTTTCACAGATTATGTCAAAGCCAAAGACATTTAACTGGACAGAAAAGTAACATTAAATGTACAAATTGATCTAATGAGTATAACTCTCTTTTTATTGAAAGTACATAGACTTTAAGTTTTATTTTGCACTTTGGAATGCAGCTTTCAGTTAAATAAAATGTAATCAGGACACTTAAGTGTAAAATAGCTCTAATATTTGCTTTACTTGGTAAATCACAGTGCAATACTTTAATATATTTATCCATAGCCCAGCATTTCCTCAGATTTCAAGAAAAGACTACATAGAATAATGGGTCTGTGAAATCAACTCTGCTTAGATCATTAAAGATAATTATAATTTAAGTATTTGGTGGTTTATTCTACTCTCCATAGAGGCACATAACTCCAGTCGATACCAATGAGATTTATGCACAAAAGACAAGCACCTATTAAATGTAAAAAAAAATTCAAAGTGCTAAACATTATTCCACTAGAGGTTCTTCTGCAAAATGAAGCAAATTAACTGCAACTAACAATATTGTTATTCACTGTAAATTAGAATGGTACTCCTAAAGAGAGAGAGAGACAGAGAGATAGAGTGCTACATATCAACAAACATCTGCTAAAAGGGTACACAAAAATGGTATAATAAATTGGAATTATAATGATTTTCAGAAAATGAAGTTGTATCCTATACTTCCAACTTTAGAGGTAGCCACACAGATCATAAATATTCAGGAAAACATGCATCACGCTTGTTAATCTAATAGGTTATTATATGAAACATATAACTGCCTACCAACCAGCTGGTATTTAATTATGTTTCATATGAAAAATTGCCCTTTTAAATTGAACATGACCAGTATTAATTAATGGAGAGTGAATATATGTGTTAAACACTATTTTCTGAAACATTTCTTAAATTCTGATTTGGAGACTAGTGTCCCTCAACAGATTACCAAAATGTAATTGCTTACCTATACAGCTTGGTACAGTGTCATTCCACTGAGCTAAAGCATTAGGCACAGACTGACATCGAATAGCTTTTGAGCCTTGCAGCAGATAACCAGGGCTACATTCAAATCGAACAACAGAGCCTGCTGAAAATTCAGACCCAATTCTCCTGCCATATCTGGGTTCTGGAATAGAGCTGCATTGTGTATCACTGGTGCGTGGAACAGCTGCATGAACAGAAAAAGGTGCTGTTAGACAAAATGCCAGTCATCGTCTGAGAAATAAATAAATTATTTCATATATATATACACACACACACACATACATACTGGCATTATTAATATGGAATTTAACTTTACATAATTCTTGTTGCACTCATGGTACCTTAAAACCCTTTAAGAATAAGTAGTTGGGTAAAGGCATCACAGTGACTATGTGGACAAACACAGCAGTAATTATATATTAGTCAGTTAACAGTTTCCCTGCAGCCATAGATATCAGATTGCCCCACCCCCTGCCTTTTTTTATTTTTAAATTGGTGGGATACCAGAACTTACCTATTCTACATCATTTTTTTTTAAATATGGCTGAGATACATTATTTCTAACAAATAATTGAGCTCAACAAACTATAAAACTGATTTATAATGTAAGCACATTTTGAACATTTAAGTACAAAAATTTCAGGTATAGGACGGAGTGTTATAAATGCTCATTTCTACATAAATGCTATTTTTTGCTTGCTAGTTCACCACCATTACTATATGAACAATGTCTGTTTGAAGTTACTATTTATTTGGGAGTCTATTTGGTGTGTTGGTTAGCTGGAAATTATAACCTAGTCTAACAAGTGTGGTACTTCAGAGACCATTCTCTTTAGCATACTATTTTCATTTGATTTTTGTAGAAATAATCTTATAATTAATACGTAATTATATGCAACAGAAACTGCCATTTATAAATTAAGACAATATACAAAAATATATACAGGAAAAATAAATGATAGATGCACCATTTGTGCCACCATAGTTATGGCTTGTGTTGTAATAAAATAATTCTACTTAAATTATCCTTTCTGCTGATGAATATGAGTTAACCTCTATGTGGCACTCACATTCATGGACTTTGTTTTATCATTACAGTTTCTTCAGCAGATCTGCCAGAACTATCAGTTCCAAAAGCAAGACAGTGGACCTAGGTATCAAACTAGGTCTCATGAAATAACAGAGTGAGTACTCCTGGGCCACCAATTTCCACTGGAACCTCATACTAACAAACATGTGGGATGGCAAAAAAAAATTTTAAAACAGTAAAAGTAACCAAGGTTGAGGGCTAGATTTTGATTTTGGCAGAGCAAGGTGTGTCAGCTGTGCCACACTAGTAGCCTTCCCAGGAGGCGTCATGACTCAGAGACATCTATGAGCCACAATTACTCCATTTTCTCCATTTCCAATTTCAAGTTTATGAATTTACTGCTGGCCTACAGCAGCTGCAAATCACTATACCCCTCTGTCTCACCACACGCTCACACCCAGGCTCATCTCCATGGCCAGTGAATAGAAGGATATATGGAGGCAAGAACCCATTCATACATACCTGGATCAGAGGCCCAGGTAGCCTTTGAAGGGACAGAAAGAGTCTTACCTCCTCTTACTCCCATACGCAGGCTTATACTCGTAATCAGAATCTACCCCTCAGTTATTAAAGTAAAAAGTTAAACTTTAAAAAAAACATTAAACACGTTAAGGTATAGAGATGCAGTGTCAGAGTACCCAAATAGCCTTAACTCTGCCTTAGAATAACACTGTGCAATAACCATATGATCATGGTTTTTAGTATCTGTGGTCCCTATTTAGATTAAACTGAATTTTTGAAGACTTTGATTTTTTTCTCCCCCCCACTCCACCTTCATGTTGCCACTAAATGAAACCTTACCATGAAGAAAAAACAAACATTAATCCTAACAAAAATATTTAAAACAGCTATGGTACAATATTTCTGTGAGTTTTACCTATATGGGAAATTTGAAGACTCTGCATTACTGAGATCAAGAAGAACCAAAAAAAAAAAAAGGCATAAGCCCAGCTGCTAAATTTCTTAAAGGACCTTTTTAAAATATATTCTTATTAAAATATATAAAACACTTCAATTAATTCAAGTATGTACTTGGAGCAAGTAAATGGAGGAGCAAGCACAAGAGCATATTAAAATCCTGTATCGTGGCTTGCTCATCATTCTGCATGTCAGAGGAAAAAGGATCTGTGCTGTCACAGACTGAGCCACATAAAATGTTTTCTGTTGAAATCTCTAACTTGATGTCAAAGCAAGGAAGCAAGCACAGGACATTGACAAAACATCAGACTAGACCATTCCCAATCTTTTTTATATGTGATTGTTCCCAGCTGCAGATTTCAGCAGGCTTAACCCTAATATTCTAGAAGGCTAACAGTAGGAATTGAATAGATTAGGTACTCATTCAGACCAATATTATACATAATTATTCTGTGAAATATAGGGAAATGTAGCTATCAGAGAAAAGGAAATGAAGAAGAGATAGATGAGACATGTAGAAAAATACGTTTTTCAGAAAGTGGCACTGCAAAAACCATTAAACCTGAATTCAAAGCCACAAAACTCATCTGTTGCTTGTTAGGACCAGAATTTGAAATATTGCAGGCTATAACCTTCTCTTCCTCCAGCTCTCCTTCTAGCTTTTGCCTATAATGTTGGCAAACTAGACTTCTCAGACTGTATTACAGAGAAATTCTATTTTCTATAGTAATTATTCTCCATCTTTTGGTAAATGTTTCACACTGCTGTGAAACAAAATTGAAATCAGCCCAGTGGAAAAGTGAACAGGGAATAAGGTCAGCCTGGAATAGAGTGTGATAAATAAAATGACTGACTTTCCAGGCCAGATTAGTGTGTTCATTCAGAGTGTGGATGCTATTCTCCAGTGTATTTATAATGTTCGCAAGCAGGCAGTGCTGGAAATGTGTTCACATATTTCAGAAGAGAGAAAAAAAAATTGAGGTAACCTTTATTAATGTAATTAAATGCCTCAAAGACGTTGCACTAGCAACATTTGTACTAACTTGAGATCCTAATGTATCCATTTATCAAAATGTACACAAAAACAGTATCAGGATTCTCCTGAGATAAGTCATTGTTTGATTCATTTTGTGATGCTGAGGGTAGCATTTACTATTTCTCAAAACCAGTTCCATTCAGTTATTACTACTACTAAATCTGCAGTTCAGTATAATAGACCGAAATGAAGCACAGCATAAGGTATTCCTAGAGACAGATTCTTCTGCAGTAAAATATATGCATATGCTTCATCAAATGAAAGCTTTGTGTTCATTTTAAATTCTTTGAACGGCAACTTGTCACAGACTACAAATAATTAGACGAAGAAGGTGTTTGGGAAAGCACACACATGAAAAAGATTGAAAGCTACAATTCAGATGGAAATAGATTATATGAAGAAATCAACATAAAATCAAAGAGCAATTCTCTCCTTTAAAATTATATAGATTCCTCCTCCCTCCCCTTTATTTTGTGCATGGTCAATTTCAATGACTTCTTTTAATTTATAGAAGTGAGAGACTGACAGCACTAGCTACATCCAGACTATCGTGTGCAAGCATGGTGAAATTAAATATTTCTACACATAAAAGGAATTCTGCCTGTACACATCTGATTTTTAGCATTCCTACTAACTCCAGCTTCTGAAATACTCCTGAGGTGAACTGGTCCTTTACAGCAAATTGCTGTATACCAAAGCATGACAGTGTTGTGATTTGGAAAAAAAAAACAAAAGATCAATATGTTCAATAAGAATTAAACTGTGCTCATAATGTTTATTTTGCTTATGACTAACCCTACATTTGAATCCAATTCATTAGAGGTGAAAAACAACTTATTGGCAATATTAACATAATATGGGGAGTTTCATAAATTTTGACTTTTCACTGACTCGTTACCAAACCTTACCTCACATCTCTCTACTGCTTCCCGCAGCTTCCATTGGCCAGGAACGGCGAATCGCGGCCACTGAGAGCTGCGAGCGGCCGAACCTGCGGACACTCAGGTTAACAAAGCGTCTCATGGCCCGACAGGTGCTTACACTGAACAAGCCGCAAACCAAGTTTGGGAACCCCTATTCTACACTATTGTTATGAGGTGGGTTAAAATCTCATTGAAAATGATATATGAACACGCCCTTCATTTAAGATAGTTGTAAGAGACAGTTAAGGGGCTACACCTAAAACAAAACACAAAGCCCAGAACCTAGCATCATGTGGGTAGAGGGTTCCACTAGACATTGTTCTGATCAGGTATATGTGTTTATCTGTGGGTATGGCAAAAATCTAACTGGAGGGGGAACAGACAAGAAAGAAAGCCAAGCACCAGCCTGTAAGCACAGTGTGTGATACTGGAGAAGTCTAAAGGAAGGTTCTAAGTCTACTGCTGCCTAAGGAGGCCTGGGGCTGTAAGGAAAGAACATATGGCCTGTTTCCCTTTGCTCCTGTAGGATATACAGTTTTTAACACAGGTCTGTAATCTGCCTCCTCCTATCTTCAGCAATACAAAGGTCTAGACCTGGTGTACACTAGAAAATTAGGTTATCAATACTATGTCACTTAGAGGTTTAAAATATTCACACCCCTGAATGGTATTGTTAAGATGACCTAAGACCCATCTAGATGGTGTTTGGTTGACGGAAGAATTCTAGCATCAATCTAGCTACCACCTCTTGGGGAGGTGGATTACCTACGCCAACAGGAGAACACCTCCTGTCGGCATAGGTAGTGTCTACACTGAAGCACTACAGCAGCTGTAGCATTTTAAGTGTATATAAGCCCCTGGAAACACAGAGTTCCAGTCCAAATATAAGACATCTCTGACAATCTTTGCTCAACACTGAACTTCTAACAGTTATAAGATAACAGATCCTCGTGTTCATAGTCAGGAAAAATTCCCACTAGTTTTAATAGAAATTCACTTAATTAAGGGTAACAGGATTATATTTTAAATGCAGTAGCTAAAGAGTGATGGATGTGAGACATAGCCAAATTTCTGATTCTCACTTGTCTAGTACAATGGCTCTATACAACTACCGAATACAAAATAAACACAGAAATAATACTCAAGTCTACATGTCAAGCAATAAAAATATGAGGTTAATTGTAGTTTCATCCAATTTGTGGATTATTATGCTTATCATCTTTACACATAAAGATGATAGCACCACCAAACACACAACAGAAAGAGAGAGAGAGAGAGAACCTCTCTGACTTGTTAAAAATAACCAGCTGCTGAGCAGTTTTTCAACAACACATTTATTCCACACTACAGAGGTGCCATAATAGGCCAGACCCTCAGTGAAGTCAATGGACTTTAAACCAGTTAAAACCAGCTGAGAATCTGTCCCAATATGTCCATGAACAGTCTGTTCCACACTGTATATCGAAATTATTCCAGCTAAAAGAATCCTATAAACATCTTGTGATCTAATAAACATTTCAATCCAGTCATGTAGATGAGATTGGCACTATTGAGTCTGTCAACATTTTATAAACAGGATGAAGTAAAAACCAACAGATTTACCTTGGTAGACAAAATGGAAACCTCTGGCAGATGCCCCACTCTTTGCACTGAACCGCATCAATATTTGATTGGATGAAGCTAAAGGCAATGTCTCACCTACATATGAAGAAGGGAAAGAAAAGGAAGAGAGAGAATGGAAAAATTGAAATAAAGATTGGAAAGATGAGAGTATTTTAGATTTTAATAAAATATCCTGTTAAAAAAACCTGATAGGCAATAGTACATTTTTCTTCTTTTTTCCTTCCATGTTTTAGCATAAAAAATTCTGCAAATCATATTTAACAACATTAAATTTGGCATTGGAGGTATACAGAAATAATCATCAAACAGAAACATTTTATGATGTACAATTATATTATTTATAAACTTTCTGATATTTACTGAAGCTGTTGGGATTAGAGCTGTAATAAATTGCTTTCCTGGGAGTCTGTTACCCTTTTGGGCCAGTGTCATTTGAAGAGTTTTTGCCAGAGTTTATCTGTGACTGACAGCTTTAGCTTGCATTCCAAAATGCCTTAAACAATTAAAAGGCTTTCAAAAGAGCCCTAGGGTCTCTCTCTATAAAGATAGAATATATAATTTAAAAACAAAACAAAACTAAAACTAAAATGAGAGAAAATGGGTCCTTGACTCTCTTTCTGAAGTGAATCTTTCTCTGTCTCTGTGAAATATTTAACATACTACATGAGTAACATTAGATTATTAAATAGATCTTCTAAAAGCAATTCAATTTAAATTAATATTAGCTCATCACTTGGCATATTTCTGTATGTCCTCTCTTCAAGGCAAGCTTTGCAAACCTGGAAGGCTAACTTAAGAAATCATGAAGAAACTTAAAATATTTACTCAGATTTTGCTAAATGCATATCAAAATTCAGATTTCCAACTTCCTATTTTATATATATATATATTTGTGTATTGTATTTTGTATTTCTGCAATTTTGGCATGCACAGTTTACCACTCTGGATTATGACAAAGGTGTGCTTACTGTTTAGCACAGGGGTTCTCAAACTGGGGGTCGGGACACCTCAGGGGGTCATGAGTTTATTACATGGGGAGTTGCGAGCTGTCAGCCTCCACCCCAAACCATGCTTTGCATCCAGCATTTATAAGGTGCTAAGTGTTTTTAATTTGTAAGAGGGGTCACACTCAGAGGCTTGCTATGTGAAAAGGGTCACCGGTACAAAAGTTTGAGAACTACTGGTTTAGCAGCATAACTCTAGAGAAACTACTGAAATGAATGAAGATGTGATGAGGAGAGGCAGAAGGAACTGGGATTGTTTAGTCTGCAGAAGAGAAGAATGAGGGGGGATTTGATAGCTGCTTTCAACTACCTGAAAGGGGCTTCCAAAGAGGATGGATCTAGACTGTTCTCAGTGGTACCAGACGACAGAACAAGGAGTAATGGTCTCAAGTTGCAGTGGGGGAGGTTTAGGTTGGATATTAGGAAAAACTGTTTCACTAGGAGGGTGGTGAAGCACTGGAATGGGTTACCTAGGGAGGTGGTGGAATCTCCTTCCTTAGAGGTTTTTAAGGTCAGGCTTGACAAAGCCCTGGCTGGGATGATTTAGTTGGGGATTGGTCCTGCTTTGAGCAGGGGGCTGGACTAGATGACCTCCTGAGGTCCCTTCCAACCCTGATATTCTATGATTCTATTATTTACTCTGGTTTAAATGAGCTGACTCAATAGGTCTCATGCGTCTCGCACTCACATCAATTACACACTGTTGTAACTCTAATGACTTCTATGGAGATCCTCCTGATATACATCACCATAAATGAAATATGAACCTGGCACATTAAATCTCTTCTGAAGATGTCATGGAACAATAAGGAAAAACTGCAAGTTTTTTGCCCTTCAATCATTTTCTAAAGGCTTGTGGGGAAATATAGATGTTGGTCTTCATTTTACTTATATATGTATGATGCTGCAAAATGGGATGTTTAGATAATATTCTCTCTTTTATCTTGACAATTAAAAATCAAACAATATTTTGTTGTTAAACCACTGCAAAAAATGTTAGAATGAATTCTGGAGTTTTTCCTTTGCATGGAAGGAACCTACATTTTTCAAACATTAAAACATTTTCCTTAAATTGTAAAACAGATACATATTTTTCGATAATAAGTAGTAAACAATAAAATAAGCCACATGTTCAAGACTGAAAAGAATGGAAAACGGTGTGTTGTAAAAATCCCAAATTCATATTTGTAAAGTTCAATGTATATGCCTCTGTGAGGCCAGATTTTCAATATTAGGTGCATGCAATTGCAAACATATTTTTGTGCATGTTTAATTTTAGTTGTACAAATATATAGCACAGGCATGTAAATCAGGGACAAAATCCTGATCCCACTGAAGTCAATGGAAGATTTGCTACTGACTTCAATGGGGCCAGGATTTCACTCCAGATACCTGCCTGCATACCTGGCCAGCTGTTAACTGGACATGTAAATGCAGAAATAATTGTTTTTTGTACACACAAGTTATTTGTGTGCATAAATTAGACACTCAAAATTTGTGTGTGCAATGCAGAGATCATACTTTAAGGCCAGATGGAACCATTTGATAGATCAGGGGTAGGCAACCTATGGCACGGATGCCAAAGGCAGCATGCGAGCTGATTTTCAGTGGCACTCACACTGCCTGGGTCCTGGTCACCAGTCCGGGGGGCTCTGCATTTTAATTTAGTTTTAAATGAAGCTTCTTAAACATCTTAAAAACCTTATTTACTTTACATACAACAATAGTTTAGTTATATACTATAGACTTATAGAAAGAGACCTTCTAAAAACATTAAAATGTATTACTGGCACACGGAACCTTAAATTAGAGTGAATAAATGAAGATTCGGCACACCATTTCTGAAAGGTTGCCGACCCCTGTAATAGATCATCTTGTCAGACCTCCTACATAATATACACTATAGAATTTAATCCAGTGACACCTGCATTGCACCCAATAACCTGTGTTTGCCTAAAGCATATCTTCCAAAAATAATCCAGTCTTGTTATGAAGACATCCAGAGATGGAGAATCCGCCACTTCACTTGGCAGTTTGTTCCAACAGCTAATCCCTTTCACAATTACTTAACTTTTAAAAGCAGACCCACAATGTGCAGAAGTTCATGCTTTCTATATTAAGTCACATAAGTGGTTTATAGTTATTTTTGCTTTCTGTTTACCTGAGTGAGATCCAGAAAGTGAACTGAGAAGTCTAGCCTGAGGGTGTTCTCCATCAAATAACTCTGCCACATCGTTCAGAGCAGTCTGGAAATAGGCAAATTGCCCAAACACAACTGGAAAATAATAAGAGAAAATAAAACAAAAACATACAGGATATTTTTGCTTACACTCATTATTAAATGATTCCTCTCTGGGTTCTTGTAAGACTTCATGCAGGGAGTGCATCTTAATTTACTTTCTGTTCTGATAAAAGAGATAAAAAGATACTCATCATATAGCCATTAGCTAATTTAATTTATTTGGTGATTAACAGGAGTACACACCCTAATTTGTTTTTTATATTTTTGTATTTTTAAATTAACAAATTAAATTATCCTTTCCCCAAAGGCAAAACTATCATCATGCTAAAAAGTAGGGATTGAGTTTTGTAGCTACCATTTGATTTTGCTACCTCTGAGAATGAAGAACAAGAAGATACAGAAAGGAAAGGAACTTAATTTATTTTAATTCTGATTACCAAATACCAGCATTGCTAAGGCATGAAAGCCTCATCATATTAGTACTCTCCCAAGGTAGCATCTAATATCATATATTATTTGTTACTCCTTCTCACTTATCTGAGGAAGAAGTAACAAAAGTTATTATAACTGCACAATTCTATCACTTCCTCTTACTATTCATTTTAGCTAAACTAATGCAAAACACTGGTAATATAATAGAAACACAATACTATATTATCACCTTTAACCTATCATTATATTTATTTTTCATTTCTATTGTAAACAATTTGAACTGTATCCACAAATAGCATATTTTATTATAGGGCATTTCTGTATGTTATTAATTAATATTAAGAACTATTAAATTCACTGTAATAGTGAATTTTGTAAATAATCATCCTGTAATAGTGAACTTCAAAAATAAAGTAGTAAACTCAACCTAATAAAAAAATACTTTATCATATCATAAAGCAATATTTTGTTAGCAAAGAAACAACTAGATTAATTGTGACTGATTCTTATTTGCGATATTGTACACACATGTTGTGTGTTACGCACACATGATGAATTACAGCACAGTAATATACTCATTGGCTAGTTATTTCCAACTTTTTTTAAAATCTCTTTTCAATCGATATGATATGGTAAAATAAATCTAAAACCAACATATATGTCTCAGTGTGTAGCTGTAGAGATAATCTACGGATATGTCGTGTTTGGTTTAAAAAAAAAAATCTTTGCAAGTTACTGATATACATCTCGAGCAATTTTATGTTTACCTAACTATGAGTTCTGGAGAGGAACATTCTGTAATAAATCCTTTGGTTGTATACATATGTCTCAATGTATACAGGTTTAATAGAACTGTACTATAACCGCTCTCTCAAGACACTAATAATTTGTAATGCTTTGATGAATTTGTAAGTAAACATTTCAATGTTTTGTCCTTCTCCCCTGACTCTTTTTCTATCTTCCAAAGAAAGAAAACCACAGTAACATATCTTATTCCTGTTTGTACAGAACTCTAATAAGAAAAATACAGCATTTTACAATGTTTTCCTTATTCTAAATCACAAAAATAACACCACCCAAGGCATAGGCATTCAGATGTGTTTCCGATGGTGCACATTGTAGTTTGTGAAATATGACAATGAATCTTTTAAATATATTATCTGATTTAATCACTTCATTACAAGTGTAACATTTGCAAAATGTATTTGTTTTTTAAAAAAAGATGCCTGACAGCAGTTCTTGGGGCAGCAAAATACATAGAGCCGCCCCTGCCCCGATCACTTTCCAACTTTTCACTGATGCTTATCTGTCAATTTCAGTTATTAACCCAGCCTCCATCCACACAACCTCCACACAACTCTCATTGTGACCAGCCTTCTCTTTGTTAGTTCCTCCTGACCCAGAAGATGATTCTTGAAATGGAGGGAGGTGAAGTGAAGCCAGAGAACTGTCATAGAAGAAAGGGGATCTTAGCAGTGAAGAAAGTATATTGGAACTTGCTGCACCCCTAAATTGTGTCTCTCTTCTGGAAAAAAAACTGATATTGTCAGAATTGTTTACTAACCTATAATCAATTATACCAGTAAAAACTCAGTAAAAGACCATAATACAAATTGGAGAAATACCTTTATTGGTGATAATGTATGAGATAGGAAGCATCAAACTTGACTGCGACCTGGCCAAACCTCTCAGTGACTCATCCCCAGCAGCCACCCTAAACCCTATAAATCAGTTACTATGTGATATACTCCTGGACAATAACTACTTGCCTACATTCCTAACTGAACTATTAGCTGGATTCATATATATAAAATCTCAGACAAAGCTCACATGCCATAGTTCAAAGTCTCATATTCAAGAACGTGAAATAATTCAGAACAACTTCCAAAATGATTTCATAAGCAAGAAGCTGGAAACTGGACACACAACAAAAATGTTATGGCCACTTACATCAGAGCTAAATTTGTCCCAGGGAAATATTAAACTAAAAGCCCTTAGAGTAAAATTATTCTACACAATCATTTATTGACTTCTCCATTACTCTGAAATCAAAACCACCTCAGAAATATTTTTATGGGAGCACAACAACACTGCAGCCATGTGAGTCACAAGTCACTAGTGTTCTACTTGTCCTTTGCAGATGTTTCCTTATTCTGTTGAGCTAGGCATACACAATACCTTCAATGTTTGTGACATTTTCCCATATATTTTTGTTTGTTTCTTGCGTATTGAATGTGGTGCAATTCTGAAAACAGATTTGCCAAAGAAGCCCTGGCAGCAGAAACAGATTATGCATCATTAGTAGTCAGAGTAAAAGCTGCACTTTGCAGTCCACCATTCTCTCTCTTGCACTAGGCTAGCTAGCAAGGGAACTGAAAGATATGACAATCCCAAAGAGA